GACCAACTTTTTGAGTTTGTGTAATTTAACAAGAACGTGCTAGCTTGTGAGTGTGCAGTAAAATATTCGATTACACCACTCTGCTGTAATTAATGAGAACCCTGACTTAAGTACAGACATGGTCCAATGATATCTTAGGCATCTAATAACTAGCCCTTGTAGTTTAAAATGCAAATTCACATGCTTAGCCATGCAATAAGATACAGGATTCTCAAATCCTGAATGTTAACAAATCCATGCCCTCCAGAAAACTATATCGCGGTCACTTGCCACATGTCAAAATTTCCAAATGACATCTAAAGAAAAGGTAAACACATGAAGGAAACTGAAAATAATATTTCCAATTGATCCACCATCTCACATTCTTCGCTGCTGTTAGGCTTGAAATGCAGCTTATTCTAACCAACCAATAGCATATACAAATATTTCAATTTGATGGTAGTACTTGTAATGACAGCCCAAAAAAATATTTTATGCATCCAATAACCACTATGCACGATACAAAAGAAGCAAGTGCTAACATTCAACTGCATTTAATATCCATCTTTAGCTATGGTTGACCTTCATTTCACATGTTAAAAGTCCATGGTTAGTTAATTACATCTGTTCTTGTTTGAGTGCAATGAGATGTTGGGTGATTGCCAGCTTCTAGTTATATATGGGATGCCAAACAGGAGTAGGTGTATATGGGATGCCAACAGGAGTAGGTGTGTAGTACATACTGATTTGCTGACTGGTGAAGATAGGTTTGTAGCTGCTCCAAAGCAGATCCAGCAATGATGCTTGCCAGGAATACATTAAAGAATAAGAAGATATAGTACTTCGATGCAGATCTTCTTTCCAGTGAAGACACTGATGTCAATCCTTCAACCTTTGACATAAACATTAATATGCTTGGGAGTAGTATGAGGAAGATCTTCAGAGCAATTCCAGGAAGGAACCCTTGGATGAACGATTTGATAGTAGGCCTGAGAAACGGTTGAACAACAAACTTTCAAAGATAATGAAATATGCCAACAAAGCAAATACAAGTAATGCATGAGTGAATTACATCAAAGGTCCTTAAACTTGTTTGCTGAATGTAAAGTTACCCACTTCCATAGAAAATGTAGCGAACCTCAATTTTTACTTCTGAGCAGCAAGATGTTTTTGTGAGGCCTGTCGCTCATTTTTACATCTGCAGTCCATATGTTTTTGGTGAAACCTAAGAAAAACAAATATAGTTGCTACTTCAAATTTGAAGTTTTTTACTCCCAAGGACATTGGATCCCATCCAATCCTCAAACGGAATTTTTCATCAAGAGTTAGTACTCGGGTGTTATCATTTCCACAACAGATTATTATCATCAGACGCCAATGCATAATCATATTCTTTGTTATCCATATTAGGCATTATTAACTACTCCATAGTCCAACTTATTATCATTGCAGCAACTTGGCGTTTTTTCACAAAAAGAAAATAAAAATAGGCAGCATCAAAGAACATAAAGCAACTTGCCATTGAAGTCACACAAAAAATCAATAGCATACTACTGTCGAACTGAAAAAAGACATTTTAAATGAAGAATAGCATGTTGAAACACACTTACATTTCAATTATAGGCTTCAGAAATGGAACTGCCTTCTCAATCCCTTCAATATTTGCAAGGGACTGAACAAATGCGATTGGGATCACATAAAAGAAGTTCAGAAAGAAGAATGCTACCGCAATTATTAACCTTCTAACTGTAAGGTGAACAATTGGAATAGACAAATTATCCCAGTACACATCACGAGGTTCTGGAGCCCACTCAGTCAACCAAACCGTCGGATTACTGGTTTGTTGTGTCTGAGCGCATACTGCTGCACCCCACCGTGTTCTGAAGGAGACAAATGCCGCTGGAACAACTAACTTGGGATCCTTCATGATCTTTTCACGTTCTTCAGCTTCCTAAACGAATGTCATTTGTAAGTGGCAGTAAATCTAACGGTTTATGCTATTGCAGCTATTCTTCATTTCAAAAAGAAAAAAACATTTAACAATATGAAAGACAATGCTTTACTTACATGACTGAACCAAAAGTTAACTATTTAAGAGTACTATTAATTATTACATACAAAAGCAAGAACAGGCATCTCATGTCTTTAGACATCCACTTGGTTAGGTAAAATAACAGGGAACCATAGCTTCAACTGAAACAGCATACAAAAAGCCCTTGCTATAACCTCCGTGCTCTTTTAATGTTGTTTCAGTCATCGACAAATCATTAATACACAATATTGATAAAAACAGGGAAGCATTGCTTCAGTTGAAACAGTATATAAGGCCATTGCTATGAACTCCGTGCTCTTTTAAATGTTGTTTCAATCATAGTCTCATGTCATAAATACCATTGGTTATTGATTTTCTGAATTGTATGGTAGCTAAAGGTAGTGAAATATGATAATATAGAAGTACTTTCGATGATAGATGTTACTTACTTTTTAAGGCAGCATTTTTCATTAAATGAAGAAAGGGTACTATTTTCAGAGTAACACTAGAATGAAGCTGAATAATGACTTACTTCCTTTTCTATCCTCTCAATTTCCGATGCACAGTGTTCAACAGCATCCATTTTGGAACCAAAACATCCAAGAAAACCAGTCTGGAACAAAGTTACAAATTATAAAAGAACAGAAAAGAGCTAGAATGAGATTTATAATACTTTTTCCCATTTTGATCAAAAGCAAGAAAATTGATGGCTAAACATGATCCAACCTTAACAGTAGGCCTTTTACTTGTATTTCTTTCATACTTCAGCTGATAGTAGTCGAGCCAATTCTGCATCTTCTTCTTCTCTTTGACCAGTTTGGCGAGCTTATTTGCATTATAAACAACCTTGAAAGAGAAGGTGTATATCATAAATAAATTAGAACATGACTGGTAATGCCTTCTAGCGTATAGCCAAATCCAAAGTACACAATCATGATTTGTATATTTATATGGAGCAATTAATTATACTTTATATGGATTTAAATCAAAAACCATGGAAATTTGAGAACAGTAAAATGTACATACACCAACCAAAATCTGAATGGCATGATAGAAGGTTTGAATTTCTACCAATGCATCCAATCAAGCAGAAGGTTGAGAACAATGAAGTGTGGCATACACACAATTTCTAATGCAATGTAAAGATCAGAATATGGCTGGTCCTGAAAAATGTAAATATTACCTGATGTGTGAGATAGTGGTCAGGATGATTCACAAGGAAGAAATGCTCTGCAAGCTCACCAATTGATTCATCTGGATCAGGTGGTATATTCCGCACCAGGACCTAAAAATCATCATGCATCAATTGTATGTCACAAGTCATAAGTCATAACTACAATGACAAAATCCTATAGAATAACAATATTAAAAAAATTAAGAGCAGTGTGCGGATGATCAGGCGCCTATGGCTTTTGGGTGCAGCCGTTGGGAGACAGAAGCACAGGATAAATTCGACCAATTTGGCTGGCATAACACTGATAGATTATGTGTACGAGTGATGTCCTGTTAGCGACCAGTTGTGGCTGAGCCTTTTATTTCTGTTTTTGTGCCGGATGTTTATACATTTCGTTTAATAAAGACGGTTGTGTGCATCATATGATGCAGAGGCCAGGGGTCAACCTCCTTTTCATACAAAAATTATTGTATCTTGATTTCTTTATCAAAATTAAAAGCATAAATAACAAAAAAAGAATAAGAGATGATTTCTCACACTACAGTTATGTGTCTGGATACAACCATTCTCAAGAGCTAGGCTGTTTCCCGTTTTCCATATATAATTGAAGATTGACTAAGTCATATGTTGGATAAATATTGCACTTTATTTTCCTTCTTTGGAAGCCTAATAGCATAATCTGCAGATGATTCTTTACAGAATGAGCAGTATACAAAAAATTATGCTCGGTAGTGTATTTGGTGGTTGTAATGCTGACTTGTAAAACCTTTCAATCACACTGAGTTATCTCAGATTTGTTTTTAACTAGAAGAATGTCATGTATTGAAGTTCACACTGACCAGTAAAAAGGGATTCCACCTGTTCCCTCAAATTATGCTCGGTAGTGTATTTCGTGGTTGTAATGCTGACTTGTAAAACCTTTCAATCACACTGATTTCAATCACACTGAATAATCTCAGATTTGTTTTTAACTAGAAGAATGTCATGTACTCCCTCTGTAAACTAACATAAGAGCGTTTAGATCACTACTTTAGTATTCTAAACGCTCTTATATTAGTTTACGGAGGGAGCATTAAAGTTCACACTGACCGGTAAAAAGGGATTCCACCTGTTCCCTCAAATACAAAAAGTTGCCTTGCTATCCAAGACATCAAATATTTGAAAGAGAATCAAGATTGGCCACATTAGATTGATGTCACTAGATTCATTGTGAAATGAAGTTCCATAATATGTAAATTCTGTCGTTTGTGATTTACTACCGAGGAGGTGGCCTAGAGACCGTATCAATGTCCAAAACAATATGTATAAGTGGAAGGAGTATTAGAAAAAAAAATCTAGATCCTGACCTACTAATTAGACACAGAAATATAAAAATAGAGTAATAAGATCATACTGTGAACTGGTCTGGGCGGCGTTTCTCTGATGCAAGAAAACGCAATCTCATTGTTGCGACTATTTCATACTCCCGCAACAGAACATAGCATGTCCAAAATGTGAAAACATAAGCCATAGTCAAGTGAGCTATGAACCTGCGTTCAAAGGGTTACTTATTAGCATGAGTCTTGGAGATACTTAATAAACAATTCTAGAGTTGATGATCAAGCTCTACATGGTCCTATGCTGTCATGCCAATCTGCTGCCACATGGTAATGCTGGCATTGCAACTTGCCAATCTTTGGGTTCTACAATTCCAACACATGCAATTTACCACATTATTCTCTCCCAATTCAGTTACACATAGGATGGAAAGTTGGTCATATTCTAAACCCTCTCTTCTCTCTCTCTCTCTCTCTATCCTTATGTCTATTCTTTTTATAATGATCTCTATCTGTACTATCTCCCTCTCTATCTCTGCCACTTATATCTCCCTTTACCTCTACCGAATCTACTGGGGAAGAACTGAGATAGGCTAAAACTCCCCTGAACGATCATGTATATTTGAGGTAATCTGAACCTACCCCATATTTATTATCTTGAATATTCGTGGTAATGCGCAGTGCATGATCAAACAGATTGGCTTTTGGTAATCAATGCTTCCCAGAGAACTTGTGGTGTCACCACATAAGCAATCTTAGAGAACTACTTACTATATGCAAATATACTTAAGAGAAAATGAACTCATCTAGTGCTAACCTCTTCGACCCAAAAGGTATGTTGGATATCGAAAGTTTGTCGATATCACTGTGCTCTACCTTCAAGCCCTCAAGGGTATCATTTGTCCAATTAACAGGAACAAGAACAAGAAATGCTAGAATTGTGATTGGAACAAATATTTTAAGCCTGCAAAGGTTTAAATATTTTCAGTATAAGTAGCAATTCAAGCAAAAAAAACATGGAGTTGGACACCAATCAGTGGATAAAACAGAACCATTCATTGGTTCAACATTGTTAATACTTATGCTGCACTCTGTATATAGAGAACAAGACAAAATAGAGAAGGTTTAGAATCAATACAATGAAATAAACATTCTCAACAAAACTGGAACCAATAATAAGTAGGTAAAAATAAAAATGAATAGTTGAACACAAAGATTAACTCACTGAAGCAAGTGGATGTACTGGAAGCTAGATGTGTTATAGATAAATACTACAGCAAATGCAAACCTAAAGGACAACCAGAAGATACAAAATCAAACATATAAAAAACTCTAATACTGAACTGATCTCTATAGCTATCAGCAACATTCGCAGCACCAGTTCATTTCCCTTGCATTTTATGTAGAGTGTGTTGAACGCTTGATTTGCGCTATGCAATCCATCAAGCATCCGAAAGAAACACTGTTCATGTACAAATATAACCAGCTATAGGCATGCTAAAAAATGGCACGCAGTCAAGCTTAAGTTAAGAACTTCACCAGTGACTAGGAGTTGCATCTTATCTGATGTACAGGTGGGCAGATGATAAATGATGACAACACTAAAAAATGTCCATGATAAAAATGAAATGCAAGTTACATACCCTGTCAAGTAGATCCGCAGATAGACAGCTGAATCAAGCCCTGCATGGCTAATCAACTCATCCTCTGGCATTTGGAGAGCAGCAGGCATCCAACTTAAGAACTTCAAGTATGACCGCATGTCCAAATTTACAAACTTCCGTACAAATGCACCCCCATGGCTTGGGCTTTGTCTTGAACCTTTCAGATACCACTTCGGGAAGTAAACCCTGTCATTGATGGGTTGTAGCCGTAGGAAAGCAAATGCTAGCAGGAATATGACGGCACTCAGTATGTTGATAGCTGCAGAAACACCTATATCTTGAATCGTAGCCATAGTTGTTGTTCATATAACTTCTGGGAATTCCTACAGATGTTACTGTAAGATGTAAGGAAGAAAGCAAGCACATAATGTTGAGACAGTTTGATGTCATGAGAACAAACTTGTAAACTAAACCAAATATAAGAACCAGTGAAGTGAACGAATGGCAATAAAAACAAAAGTTTATGATATAAAAACACTTAATAAAAGAGGTTACTCAATATCATCACAAAATAATACTACAAGTTTCACATGGTTCAGTTTGGTTCTGAAACTTGATTCATATGAAACAGCAAGTTACGTGAAGGTTTGTTTGTTACAATATTCATTTAGCACCAAAACTAATGTCTTGCTTGAATCCAACATCGCTAATGGCTGGTCTAATATTGACCTTTTTAACACAAAGTGAAAGTGATTACTCGATGTAAACATGTAACCACCATGAAATAATATTACAAGTTTCACATGCTAGACTAAGTTGAATTTGGTTCTGAAGCTCGATTCACATATGAAACAACAACGAGAAGAAGAATGCTTTGTTCGCGACAATACTCTACTATTTTGTAGCACCAAATAATGCTGTCTTAACACACGGAAAGTATATATGTAATTCCCAGATAAATGTTTTGCTTGAAACCAATATCACTAATGTCTGGTTTAAAATGGGCCTTTCAGCCCAAATATGTGAAAGTAAAAACGGTGATCAGAAGTAACAGGATCGGTTAATATTTATTGTGAAGATGGCCTAAGAAAGAAAATTAGCATGAGAGAAACCATGGGATATGGAGACCACCCATATCTGACAGCTACAGAAATGAAGCTGAAATCATATAATTCCAATTGGACAGCTACAGGAACCAAAGCTCCCTGAGATTGTGATTCCAGTGCAGGCAAACCAAACATCTATTCCCATCAACTCTCAGTCAGCTATGAGATGCTTGATGGACAATAAAAAATTTGGGCCGTCAACATCACAACACAAAATACTAGTCCCTCCTTTCCGGTTTATAGGTCTTGCCTCAGCGTATCTCTAGGTCGTCAATTTACTAATGTAATACTATAAATTATAGTATATCAGAAAAGTTATACCATTAGAAAATAGAACCTTTGGAATTTGGAATGGTATAAATTTTGTAATATATGTTTCGTATTATATTGAAATCAAAGTCTACCAAGAGAGGCTTGGATTGCAGTCGTATTTGGATGATTGGCCCATGCGCTAGTACCAACAAATTAAAAAAAATAAAAACCTCTGCGGAAAATAAGGCGTTAAAAGTGAGAAGGTGATAAGTTTGCATGAATTCATTCTATGGGCACTCGAGAGGCAAACCTCGCATCCAGTTTAATACTCCCTCTGTCCCAAAATATAAGAACATTTTTTACACTATAGTAGTGTAAAATACGTTCTTATATTTTGGGACGGAGGGAGTAATTCAATTCGTCAGTTGGGCTAGGTTTAACACAATTTAATATGTCAGTTGAAAAAAAAAGTAGGTTAGGTTTCATACTAATTTGAATTGTCACTTAGAAAAAAGGTACAATTATAATAGTAATTTAATTTGTGGCTTCAGAGAAAAGGCGTACCCCGCAAAAAAAGAGAGAGAGAGAAGGCGTATTATTAATAAGAAAAAGAAAATCCTTTCTTCCCTCTATTCCGCAATTGAGTAGCCTGATACCAGTCAGAACGCAGCAAGAGAGAGAAAATAGTGCTAGATTTGAGAGAAACAAATGGATTTATTTATATTTATATTGTTGGTCCTCCATAAGAAACGGAAGAGAAATGACGCAGCAATCTGGTCTGTGGTACACATACACGTCTCCCCGGGAGTGACGAAGGAAGGAAGGAAGAGAAAGAAAAATTGAAGCCTGGAGAGGCAGATCTGAGCACCGGAAGCAGCAAACTGGGCGAAAGAAGCTAACCTAGGAGCAAATTCATCCACAGAAGGCAAGAGGAATCAAGGACATACCTCGTCTCTCCACCAACACCGGTACCGGGAGCGGGAGCAAGCTGGCCGTCGTCCGGTATAGCTATCTATGGCGTCGCGGAGTGGAGTGGATAGCACCGACGCTTCCTGAAGTGCTCCCTGTACAGTACAGCGACGCCCTGGGATTGGGGTTGGGATTTTATCCCCCTCCGTCGCTGTCGTCGTGGCTGGAAAGGAAACGGCGAGGGAGGGAGACGTTACTAGTTGCCGCTCTGTGCTGGCCGCGGGGTGTGGGTCGAGTTATTAGCATCACTTTTCTCCCACGCTCCACCTGTAGACGTGGACGTGGACGCCCCTCTTGCTCTGGCCTGGTAACGGACGGTTTTGCTGCGCTCTTCTACGAGAGAGTAACATACACATATCTCTAGACTATATTACTACCTCAATAATGAATAGTAATATAAGTGTGGTAATATACAAAGCTTCATTTGTTAGGTGCATTGGGACATGTGATGTTACAGTAACTAGTTAAGTTACTAGTACTACATCTCTTCTCATTAACTCACTGTCGCATAAGCAAATTTGCTGAGTTGGACTCGATGTTACTATCGAAGTTACTACCACTGTGGCTAGTCTGATGATGGTGATGAGGGTGGGGAAGATGCATCTCATCTCGGGGTGGGGGGTGTAGACTCCAGAAGATGGGGGCGTAGGTTTCAGTGTTAGGCACATACAGAGGGGCTGAGTCAGCTGTCTATAAACAGGTACACGTAGGATTTTTTATTGCGTGGACGAAAGAGAAGGATGAGAGAGAAACTGTCCATCTGTATAATTAGCGTCGTCTAATCGCTTCTTACAGACAGCATTTCTCCTGTTGTACGATGGGTGTATGCAACCAGCGTTTGTTTTCTTTCAAGAAACGGTTTAAGTTTCGCCATAATTTTAGGCCTATACAGACAACTAGGTGGATGATGCATTGTAGAAGATGTCTGTAGTACACACTAAATCTGACATGGACAGAGATTATAGACAAGAGCCGTCTAAACCGTTGCACATGTCCTTATGCTAGTTTCAATGCATTGGTGCTTAGAGCAACTTCAATGGGGCGACCCATTTCGTCCGCCGTCGTCCGTTTGGGTCGGCGCGGACAGAAAAGTCGACCCAACGCGCCGACCCAAACGGACGCGCATCCGCTTTCATCCGCTTGCTGGCCCATTCCCGGCCCTTTTTGAGCCGGATTTGCGTCAGCGCGGACACAAGACGGACGCGCGCGCGCTCGCCCTCTCTCCTCCCCGTGCGCGCACAACCTCCACCGCCTGCTTCGTCGCCGACGCCGCCGGCCATTTTTTTCCGATGAAAAAGATACATAGATAGGTCTTGCGTACACAAATAAAAGAAAAAATCAACTACTCGTCGGTTTCCAACTCTGACTCGGTAATGTCCTCCTCCGACGTCTGAATATAGGCGTCAGCAGCCTGCTTGTCCGCGAAGTCCCACCCTGATGTTTCCCGTAGCTTCATTCTCAAGTGATCGGCCTGCTTCAGCGCATGCTTGCCCTCCCGATAGGCGGCTCGCTCCGTCCTCCTCGTCTTCCTCTCCGTCCTTCTCTGCTCATAAAACTAACGTTCGTCGATGATGTCCTGCGGGAAGCGTTCGCGCCACATCAGCAAGGCTTGCATGTCCATCTCGGCGATGGCGAGGCGACGCTGCCGCCTCCGGTGGATGCGACGGTCCTCGTCAGTGAAAAGCCGCGGGAGAGGCGTCAGATCCTGCGCCCGCTGGCTCGACACGTCAGGAAAATTCATCTCCCGACTAAGCCGCCGGAGGCGCCACGCCGCCGCGTCGTACGCGCAGGCCGCCTGCTCTGCGGTGTCGAAGGTGCCGACGATGAGGCGTTTCTCGCCAAACCAGAACTCGACGGAGAAGGCGGCGGAGGGGCGCTCGCGGAATCCGCGCAAATCCGAAGCACCGAGGATGCGCATCGACATGGTGGCGCACAGGCGGCGAGGCTAGTGAGAGGGGGCGAGACGAGTGTGGCGGCGGACTGGGAGGGGGCGAGAGCGCCTTCTTATAACGAGCGCTGGTCGCGGCGTGCCAAAACAAGCGCGCAAACATTTCTCGCGCTCTGGAGCTCCAAAGCCAGCGCGCGCTATGTCGATTTTTCCCCGCGCGCGTGAACCTTTCCCGCGCTGGCATGGCCGCTGGCATGATCGAAAAGCGCGCGCGGTCATGAAATGGGTCGGCGCGTTGGGCGCGCTGCCGACCCAAATCTAAAAGAGGGCGGACGTCGGGTGGGCGGCCGACCCAAACGGACAAAAAGCGGACAAAAGCGTCGTCCGTTTGGGTCGGCCCATTGGAGTTGCTCTTACATGAGATGCTAAGCACATTAAAAACTTTAGCAACTAAAGCCCCCAGTGACATAGGTGTTTAACTTATTGGTGCTAAGCATCCTTCATTTAATGATTTACAATTAAGATTCTTCATGCATTAGTGGGATCCTTCCAATTTAAGTGTTTTGACTAGATTTTCGCACTTGGTAATATTTATTTTTGGGATCACTACACTCATCTATTTCCTCTTAGTTACCTTGGCACATCAGACTTTTTGCCTACATGACAGTTTTAGCATTTGTATAAGGTGGAGCATTGAAAAGGACCTTATATACCTTACCTACTTCCTTCCTTCCCGCATGTTGGGGGCAGGATTTTTTGGGATTGTATTTGAGCCAAGGCGAGGGGATACCATCTGTGCAGAGGGGATACCATGTGTGCAGGTTGGGTTTTGAGCATGCTTGTCATCTCTATCTCCGTCTCCTGCAATTTCTCCAACTACAACCATACATATCTTATACTAATATTTCCTTTCCTTTATACGGAGCGGAGGGCACATGAGAAACGTAACTAGCAAAAAAGAAATTGAAGGGAAGAAAGAGACGTGGCTGCTCGGACCTCGAATCCATCCCATTAAGGGTCCGGTCATTTTGCTATTAAACAATTAATTAATTAGTGATGGTAACGCTTGGCAGCTAAACGCCCTCTATGATTTACCATACGTATACTCCCATTAGTTAAAAGTAGTACAACTTGATTG